ACAAAGCTGTACAAGAACTTGCAGAATATGATGGATATATTACCACACTGGCCGGGAGGAGGAATGAAGCCCGGTGTTAGCCTGGAGTCGATGCTTAACCTCAGGAGGGTGAGAACAGACCACCCCCCCAAAATTCCTTAAAGCCTTACGTAAGCCTTGTTCCCAAGACAAGGCTGGGAAGATTCCTGTATTACAGGCAGAAGGTAATAAAGGAGTTAGCTTGAACTCTGCTCTCTGTATCAAGATTGAAAAACGCTTAAGCTTCCTGTGACTATTACTGCTTTTCAACTTGCCAAAGAATGTTGGAGGGGAGGGTGAGCTGGAATAAGGAGGCTACAGTCTTCGACCGTGAGAGCCAAGGACACGTCTGCAAGTATTGGCCAGGACATAGACTGTTGTCGCAACAAAAGGATGATTCCCAATTGGACAGTGGGAATCTTGTTCCATGGGAGGAGGGGATGAAACTCATTTTTTAATTACGCAGGAATGCGCGAGAAAAAAATTAGAGTCGGTTTTGTTTTTCCTCAGTGCCGAAATGAGGTACTCAATAAAGTTTTGCTTTTGGGGGTTTTACAGTTCCTGAAAAGTTCCTGCTTTTATTGGGTCCGTTAGTCAGAGGGTTGACTCTCTGGTTGTTTGCACCTGACAGCAATTAGCAATGGTATTTAGGCTTATATGCTGCCCCATAGTGCTTTACAGCCCTCACTTGAGTGGCTTACAACGTAAAGCATTATTTGCATATCGACCCCAACAGCCTGGGTCCTCGTTTTACCGACCTCAGAAGGATGGAAGGCAAAGTCAACCCTGAGCCTTGTCAGGATCAAACTCCAGCCTGTGGTCAGAGTTGGCCTGCAAATTTTGTCGTGGTGGCGTGGTGATTAGAATGCAGTATTGCAGGCAGTCTTTGCCCACTGCCAGGAGTTCGATCCTGACCGGCTCAAGGTCGACTCAGCCTTCCATCCTTCCGAGGTGGGTCAAATGAGGATCCAGATTGTTGGGGGCAAGAGGCTGACTCTGTAAACAGCTTAGAGAGGGCTGTAAAATCACTGTGAAGCGCTATATAAGTCTAAGGGCTATTGCTAATACTGCAGTTTAGGCACTGTGCCACCGGGCCTCAATTATTTGATGGCTGTCCTCATTTTGTGTTGAAAAAAAAATGGCTTTAACTAATCCCCTATTTTTGAGCTGATAGCAGAGATTCTCAAATTTGGATTGGCCTCTGTAGCTTTTGGCTAATACAGGACTTTGTCAATTGTTGGAAAAGAAGCTTTATTTTTTTCTTAAAAAGTCTGGTTGGCCTTTGGGACAGAAGACTAAATAAAGCGTGAATATCAATTAACTTTTGTCCTCCTGAGCAGCCTCTTGCACGCCTTGAAGTATTCAGTGATTATTGGCAGGCTGCTAAAACAGTACTGTGATGAATATCTTCATGAAACAGACCTTACATAAGAGTGACTGAAATGCTCTTGATTCATCAGGAGGAAGAAAGACCGAACCACGAGCTCGTCCAGAGTCTCATCTCGGCACAATCCACCATCGATGCCAAGATGGCTTCCAGCAAAGTCTCTCTCTTCATGGACTCCAAGCCTTTAGAGACAGCGGATGTTGAAAACGAGAGGTAAGCGGTAGGTTCACACACAATCCTTCAGATGTCATGGGTGCGTCATCGCTGGAGGCTTTTAAGAAGGGACCGGACAGCCACTTGTCTCAAATGGGATAGCGTCTCCTGTTTGAGCAGGGGGCTGGACTAGACTTCCAGGCCCCCTCTAACTCTAGCCTGAATTGAAAATTGAAAAGCTGTTGATTGTAACGGTAGCATTTAGACTAATATACTGCTTCACAGTGCTTCACAGCCCCCTCTAAGTGGTTTAAAGAGTTAGCCGATTGCCCCCAACATACAAGAAGCTTTTAAAACTCTGATTGAACATCTTATTGTGGCCCACCAGCAGAATTGGGGGCAGACTTGGATAGTGAGGAGGTTGGGGAGGAACGTGGGCCAGTCTTGGAGTCTGGGGAAGGCTTGGACGAGGGCTCTGCATCGGAGGCAGAGATGGGGCCAGGGCTGTCTGACAGTTACCAGCTAGTGGGGAAGAAGAACAGCTGGAGCCTGTTCCCAGTGTGCGCATGCACAGAGCTGCCAGGAGAAGGGAACACTAGGATCACACAAGAATCAATTCAGGAGTAAGGGCAGAGGTGGACAGTGAATGGCCACTCCCATAGGGGATAAAGAGGAGTGAAAGGGGAGTGGGGTTTGCAGGAGACAATTAGTTCATTTAATTAGGATGAAGATCTGTTCCTGACTTCTTGCCAAGTAATTGCTGCTACAGTGTGGTGTTTGGAAGCTATCGGCCTGGCAATTCTCCCAGCCCGATAAAGGTCTGTGGTTGCAATTCACCCTTGTTTGCCGGGACTTTGCTGGATGTGAATGACAGGACTTCACATTGGCTTAATAAAAAGGGGTTTTGTCAGGATGAGGAATCCGCTTTGTGATTTGGTGAAGCCTGGGTCAGAACACATCTTCAAAGACAAAAAAAAGTCCAGGTGCCTCTTGAAAAAGCACTTTTGGGATACACATCTAAAGATGGCTTTTATGTTGTAGGGGAGAGAGGGGGTAAATTTATTTCGGAGCTTTTGAAAACACCATTATTTGCCCTAAACTGCACCTGTAACTCTCAATGCAGGAAGCACAATAGCAACACTGACTGTGGGATTTATCTAGGGTGAATTAAAATGCAGGTGGGCCTCGCCTTACGACCACAATTGAGGCCGACATTTGTGTAGCTAAGTGAGACGTTTGTGAAGTGAGGGCTGCGCCCCCCCTCCCCGTTTTACGCTCTTTCTCACCACGGTTGCTAGTGAATCACTGCAGTTGTTAAATCAGTAACACGTTTGTGAAGTGAATCTGGCTTCCCCCATTGGTTTTGCCTGTCAGGAGGTCAAAAAAAGGGGATCAAATGACCCCTGGGAGATAAAGATGAACCCATTGCCCAGCGCCCAAATTTTGGTCACGTGACTGTAGGGTTGTAAGTGGAGGAAAACGGTCCCAAGTCACTTTTCTGACAGTGCAAAGTTATGACTTTGAATGGTCGCTAAACGAACTGTTGTCAGGCGAGGACTGCCTTACAAGGGCTTTTATGCTGACTTTGTTCCTGAGAGGCTCAGGTCGCCTAACAGGTTCTCAACGTTTATGTTCCATCAGCATTTTTCCCATGCCGAAAGAAGAAATGGAAGCAGACCCACGGACTGGGAGGACGCGCCGGAAGGCAGTGTTTGAAAATGAAGACCAAAGTGATGATGATGAGGAAGAGGAAGAGGAGGAAGAGGGAATGTCTGTGGAGGAGGGCGTGGGAGACTCGAGTGACAATGACGAGGAAGGCGAAGACGACCATTTTCTACGCCAGAATCTGGTCTCCGGGTCTTCCGAGCGCAGCAAAAACCAAACGGAGCCTCTGCTCCTCGCAGAGCGGCCAGCCTTCGCTGACAGTGACGATGACCTTGAGGAGAATTCAGGGGAGGAGGAGGAGGAGGAGGAAGAAGATGACCCTGAAGAGACAGACGGAAGCGAAGAGGAGGCAACCCTTTCCAAATATACCGCCGGAAACCCAGCTCGGTTGAATAAGCCTCTATCGGACGAAATGGACCACAAGATGAGGAACAGAAGAAAGCTGGTCAAGAAAGCAGCCTGTATCACCTTGATTGAAAAGGTTACTCCTGATGGAGCATCGATATCGGATTTAGGTGGACCTCCATTGTGGGAAGAGGACGGCCCCGTGGAGGAGGAGGAGGAAGAGGAAGAAGAGGAGGAGGAGGAAGAGGACCTCCAAGGGTGGGACCAGGAAGAGACTCAACTACGAAGTGTTGACATCAAGATACAAGATTCTGGGTCAATGAAGAATGAAGATGATGTGGAAGATCTTTTGAAAGAGGACGAAGACTATAAAGAGGCGTCTGATTTTTCTTCAGAAACAATTGGTACGTACTTCTGAATCTCTTGAAATGTTTTTATGGCAATGATTTTTGGAGGCATTTATCCAGGCATCTCCTCAGTTTTTATCCAAGTGCAGTTTTGAGTTTGAATGCAGGGTCATAAGATTTTGTGGAATTTAATGGCTGAGAGTAATGGGGTATTTACATTTTTAAATTGTATAGAGATTATTGTATGGTCTGTTGTGTTTAATTTTATTTTTCTTTCAATGGTGTTGTCCAGTTTTACTTGTGGAAGAGCACCTCATTTCGTTGCACCTGCTTGCGAGTGTAATGACAAATAAATTCTTATGTCTTATGTCTTATTACCGTAGCCTTTTCTAGCAAGAGAAGTGAGGTCGAAATCCTGTGCACAGTTGCTTTGGTGTTAAGCCCAGTGAATGCAATGGGACCTTTACACTTATTTGCTCTGCAGCTCTGATTAAGGAGACATAAACATTAACTGATGAAGTTGTTACATCTGGGCAATGTATTTATGTTAGCAGCTTTAAAAGAAATGGTGCAAATCATTGACTGTTTAATCTGATTTAGATAAAAAAAACAATCTCTTTTTTTCCCCCCTATTCTTTCAGGAGCTCTGAAATGGAAAGAAGACCTCACCCAAAAGGCAGCCGAAACCTTTTTGAGACAGCAACAGGCTGCTCCGAATCTCCGCAAACTCGTTTATGGCACAGGTAAAATATAGATTGGCCTGCCTGTATTAGAGAAGGAGGGGAGGGAGGGAGGGAAGAAGGAAGGTAGGAACAGAAAGAAGCAAGAAAAAGAAGAAGGGAGGTCAGTCATGGAAGGAAGAATGGAAGGTCAAGGAAAGAAGGGAGGAAAGTCAAGGGATGGAGAGAGGGAGGGTGGAGGAAGGGAGGGAGGTCAATGAAGGGAGGGAGGTACTGTTAAGGAAGAAAGGGAGGGGAGGAGGTGAAGGAAGGGAGGAAAGGGGAGGGAGGGTGGAGGATGGAAGGGAGGTCAAGGAAGGTGGTCAAAGAAGGAAGAAGGGAAGGAGGAGGAAGGAATAAAGTAAGGAATTGTTGAGGTAATTCCCCGTTAGGAGAATGAGCGCATACAGGGAGATGTATTTGAGAGGAGTGTTTGAATAATACACACAGAGCACACAGACACACTGTACAGTAAATGTAGGTTTTTACTTCCAGAAAGGTTTAAGCAAAGTCCCAAATAAGCAATCCAAAATCATTCACAGGTAAAATCGGTCAGTTTTCATCCAGGGATAATCCAAATATCAAATTCCAGTGTCTAAAAACAGTTCAGTATCAGACTTACATTAAATCCAGTAATGTCACTCAATTAGAAGAAATGGAGGAACGGCAATACTTTCCGACAGAAGGAAACAGAGATACACTCACGCTCTCTTCTGAGACTCAGACTCAGACTAAAACAACCCAGGTTTCTGGCTCCATCTTATGACCGTTTGAGTAACCACACCCAATTGCAGTTTTTAGCATGCTCTTAAAGAGACAGTATTAAAATGTTTATCCTGGTTTATATATTTCTAACCCAAATAGCTGTTAAGTGACTCATATTCCTAACAGGAACGAAGGGAGGAATGTCAAGGGGGGGAGGTACTTTAAGTCAAGGAAGGAATGGTGGGAAGGAGGTCAAAAAAGAAAGGAAAGAAAGGGGGAAGGAAGAAAGGACCTTAGGCAAATGTCCAGGCGCAAAGTTTAGTGAGATTGTCATCAGTCAATCATTAGTACGATGAAAGCGAGGAAAAAAAAGCCAACATTTCCCCTCCAGGTGAAAACTTTTCCATTTGGCTTCTTAGTTGCAGCTCCTAATCGGGGATGCCTTCTGAGTCTGTTTTAGCTTGGCAGGGGTCTTAAAGGCACCTGCATTCTAGGTCGAAACTCAGGCAGTAGAAAGAGGATGAAGGTGGGATTGGCAATGGGACTTGCAAGAGTGAATTATTTTCAGTATTTGCGCACCACCACTTCCTTAGGGGGGGAGTGTCTTTTGGGAGGTTTACTGGATTTAAAATGGTAAGCCTCAACAATTACCTACCACAGCAGGACAGCCAAAACGTAGACACAGGCCAGTTGCCATTTTTGATCTTAACCTGGGGTGTGGAGTGATGTTCATAGGACTAGTTTGTAGGTCATTGTTTTCAGTCCCTTCGCAACGTCAAATGGTCATGAAACGAAGGGTTCTCAGGCGAGGACGGCTTCTAACGTAGCCGCGAGAATGTTTAATTGTGGCTCAAATGCTGCCTTTATTCTTCCTCAGTGGCTGAGGATGCGGAAGAGGAGGAGGAAGGAGAAAGAGATGCGGAACTCGGCGGGCTGTTTCGCGTCAGCCGTCCTGACAAAGAATCGAAACGAAAGATTGATGCTCTGGATTGCTCCAAATTTCCCACGGAAGCCCCACAAGACTGGGACCTGGACGAGGTATGGCTTCTTCAGATTTGTTGGCTGATGAACGGGGTGTCAACTGTCCGACGAGCGAACCCGAAACAAGGAAGCACTCTCGGGAGGTTTGAACTCCCAAAAGTAAAACTTTATTGGAACTGAAGAATCAAAACCAGCTCTGATTTTCTCCGCGCAAAGAGTTGCTCAGTTAAGCAGTAGCTTCCCTACCTCCCCACCCAATCATGAGACGGCCTTTTGATATGGGAACAGTCCACCTCTCTCTCCAGCACCTGCAACAGGGACCTTGATGGTTGCACAGGTTCTCTCGGTCCACGCACTCGGTTCTCAGCATGCCAGTCGACACACTGTTTAAATGAAAGATGGATTTATTGTAAATATATTTTTTTTCCAAAAAAGAAAAAGAAAAGGTCCCTTCCAACTCTGTCATTCTATTCTATGCTATTTTGCAGGTGAAGGACAGCATCCGAGATTGTTTCGTGACCGGAAAGTGGGAAGCGGACAAAGACGCAGAAAAACTGTTGAAGGAAGATGGTAAATCAGAATCGGAGGGTGTCCCTCCCTACTTATTTTCTTGGAAGCAACCTGGAGGGGAGGAAAAAGTATTGTTTCTTCATACAAGCTAGTCCTCGATGTACGACCGGTTGCTTAGCAACGGTTGGAAGTAATGATGGACACCCGCCCCCCCACAACAGCTACTTAACAATCCAGCTTTGATATCAGCCCAGTGCCTGCCAGTCACGTGACTGCGCTTTATGATGGTTTGCCGGAAACCAGCATTTAAAAGGTGGTAAGATCAGGTCTGTTTCACATGGCGACCCACTTAAGAACTACCAAGACTTTTTTAAAAAAAAGTTTATTTTTTACACATCTCTTCACGTGAGCAACGTGATTCCAGGTTATAACATTTATACACAGTCATAATTGCATTTTCAACTTTCTTATCTAATATCAAATCATTATCTATTCCACTGATCTTTAAATAAGTTCTCATTTCATATTTCAATTCATTACTTCAATATCAAAAAACATTTCATCCTCACCTATATTTTCAATTCTTTATCCCCTATTATTTCCATTTTCAGCTTACCACCTATTTTACATTATTCATTATTACCTTCATTAGTTCATTTTTACCCTTCTTTGTTTATTATAAAACTGATAATATTCAGGATCCACATGGTATATCCCCCAGTCTACAGTAAATCTTATATTTATTCCAGAGATATTCATATAACCATTTCATATTTTTTCTTGGTTTCTACTAAGTAAGAATTACCAAGACTTAACGACCAGGCTCAATTATGGTCGTAACTCGAAGACTGCCACCCTTCCTGTCTGTAAGGTGGGCATTGGGTGAACATCTGAGGAGGAATGGATGAGGGCATCATTAGGAGAGGATAATTTGGAATAAACCGTGCCTGATCCCAGAGTATCTGTAACAAAAATACAGGCAGTCCCCAGGTTACAACAGTTTGTTTAGTGACCGTTAAGTGGCACTGAAAGAAATGACTGACAACCTCTTTTCACACTTACAACCATCGTGGCATCCCTGTGGTCACGTGGTCACAATTGAGACCCCCAACTGACTCACATTTACGACGGGTCGCTGTGTCCAGGGGTCATGTGATACCCTCTTTCATGACCACCTGACTAGCAAAGTCAACGGGCGGATTCTGCTTAACAACCTTGTGACCCACTTAACCGCTGCAGCGATTCACTTAACGACCGTGGCAAGGTGGTAAAATGGGGAAGGCTCTTGTGATGACCTGGAGTGTAACACAAACATAACAAAATCTAAAATGTAAATAAATGTCCCTTTTAATGCCTCCAAGTTGGCCCCACTGTTTAGTAATACTCAGTTGGAGATAAAACGTACTCAAAAATAGTCTTCAAAAGAGAGCAATACCGTCTGAACTTAATGAGCAGATAGGGGTGAAATAAAAAACCAAAACAAACTACAATGAAGGAATTTCCACAACGGATCAGGATAAGTAATTACCAGTTGCCAGGATATAACAAGGCACAGTCTGTTGGAAGGACGCCCACCAAAGTAAAACATGCTTTGCTTCTGGCAATGCTGTGTTTTAACCATCTCTCTTATATACTATTCTCCCCAGCTGTAACCAATGAGGGGGATCATGGCCGCCTCTTCTCTCGCAAGCTAAGTTTCTTCCTTCTCCATTTCTCCCTGCGTGTCCTAGGATGCAGAGGGGGTGGGCCTGGTTCTTCCTCTGACTGCCCACCCGGCCTCTGCCTTTCCCCAGCCTCCTCCACAACCTCCGGAGCCACACTTCCACTCCCTGTCGGCTGTTCCTCCTCTCCCTCAGAGTCCGACTCTGAGGGCATGACAGCTCTCTTTAACGAACGTCTTACTTTAGCAGCAGAAATTTGGGGCTCAGTACTGCTCGTGCATTGAGGACTAACCTGTATGGACCTCGGAAAGATGAACGCTAGTTCTGATTTCTGTTTTTTTTAAAAAAATTTATTTTCCAGAAGAAATATACGGTGATTTTGAAGATCTTGAGACAGGAGCAGTATATAAAGGCCGATCAGCTGATCAAGGAGACGAGGTTTGAGACTGTCTGATTATGTCTGATTTAACTGATAGGTGCCGTGTGATAGAATAACAGAATAACGGAGCTGGATGGGACCTTGGAGGTCTTCTAGTCCAACCCCCCTGCTAAGGCAGGAAACCTTATACCACTTCAGACAGATGGTTGTCCAATCTCTTCTTAAATAATAACTCAATCTCTCTCCCTGAGCAACTCTCAGGTTCTGGAAAAGTGTAAAAGATTCAAATTTAAATACAGGTAGGCCTGAGCTTAACTACGGTTCATTTAGTGATGGTCCCAAGTTACAACTACACCAGTGAAAAAGTGACTTTTGACCATTTTTCATGCTTAATGACCGTTGGCAGCAACCTTACAGTTCACTCAAGAAATTCATGGATTTTTTGCGATTTAATCTTTGACGTCAGTTTCTCCCTCTCTCTCTTATTTCCTGCAGTTATTCTGTAGTTATTCTATCCTGTGATTTTAAATACATTTTATACACATTTTTTCAGTCACGTCTGAGGGCCAGTCGTGATTTTTTTTAGAAGGAAATGTGTGAGACAGCAGCAGGAGTCTAGAATGGACAGTACCAATAAATTTAATGATGATAACGATAATGAACTATTGAAATTTCCTTGGGCATTTCCCTGCGGTGGTACATCAACACATTTTTTCCCCAAAATCCCCTCTTTGTAACAAAAACTATCAGTGACATTTGCATGGGAGTGGTGATCGAAGTTGTCCTATTCCATGGTGCATCATCTATGAATTCAGACTGTTGGCAGTGGACTCATAGTTATGACGGGCACGGTGTCCTGGGTTTTATGTGATCCCCTTTGGCGACTTTCTGACAAGCGAAGTCAAGGCAGTCAATGCAGGGATTCACTGAAGAACTATGGCAAGAAAGGCCATAACACGGAGCAAAATTCATTTAGCAGCTGTTGTGGCCAGCCAGTGGAGCTGGCGGTGGACTCGGACAGTGAGGAGGGTGTGAAGAAACGTGGGCCAGTCCCGGAGTCTGGGGAAGGCTCTGAAGAGGGCTCTGTGTCGGAGGCAGAGATGGGGCCAGGGCCATCTGACAATTATCAGCTGCCTTTGGAGTCAGAGATCAGTGAGGAAGAAGAACAGCTGGAGTCTGTTCCTAGTGTGCACATGCACAGAGCTGCCAGGAGAAGGGAATAGTTAAGGAACAAGGGTGAATGGCCCTTCTCAGGGAAGAAAGAGGAGCAAAAGGGGAGTGTGGGGTTTGCAGGAGACAATTCGTTCAATTCATTATGGTGAAGATCTGTTCTTGACTCCTTGCCAAGTATTGTCTGCTACAGAGTGGCGTTTGGAAGATATCATCCTGGCAACTCTCCCAGCCTGATAAAGGTCTGTAGTTGTGAAATCTCATGAAAGACTGTTGGCTGGGATTTTGCTGGAAAGTGAATGAGAGGAATTCACTTTAACCTAAATAAAAGTGGTTTTATCGGTACGAGGAGTCTGTTTTGTGCTTTTGGGGAAGCCTAGGTCAGAACAGTAGTTGTCTGTTGCTTAGCAACAGAAATTTTGAGCTCCATTGTGGTCGTATGTCGAGGACCGCCTGTATTTAACTTCGAGTCACTGCCCAGTGGGATAGGGGCTTATGACTGTATGCAAGATTCCAACCTAACCAATACATTCAGAGGCCTTGCTGGGTATAGAAGAAAGGGGCATCTTGGCCAGGAATTTTTTTCTTTTTAAAATTACGTGCTGCAGATTTCATTTGGGAGGGGAGAAAATTCAAGGCTTGAATGACTTGAATGGTTATTATTTTTCTCCGTGCCGTTTAGGCGGAAAACGAAGAGGAAGAAGGCAACGCGGGAAAGAGCCCCGAAGCGGCTAAGGAGGAAGAGGAGCAGAAGAAACGCATCGCGAAGAAACGCAAACTGAAAGAGATGTTTGACGCAGAGTATGATGGGAACGCCACCTATTTTGATGACCTGAAAGAGGAGCTGCAGAACCAGGCTCAGGTAGAGCCCCTGGTTTGGCTGAAGGGTTGGGAGGCCAAGAGGATGGCCCGGCAATGTTTCTCCTTCAGGTCTTGGCAAGAGTTTATGTTGGAAGAGGAGCTCATCTCCGCGAGCAAAGCGTGAATGAAGTCAAGCCAGCGTGAGACCAAAATGTCATCGTGCTCTGCCTTGACTTGTCTTTGGTGCAGATGAAAGGGGAAGGGACAGAAATGCCGTCCGGTTTGTGATAGCAGTAGCCCTTAAACTTATAGACTGCTTCATAATGCTTTGAGCAGCGATGGTGCAGTGGTTAGAGTGCAGTACTGCAGGCTCCTTCTGCTGACTGCCGGCTGACTGCAATTTGGCAGTTCGAAACTCACCAGGCGCCAGGTTGACTCAGCCTTCCATCCTTCCGAGGTGGTAAAATGAGGACCCAGATTGTTGGGGGCAAGAGGCTGACTCTGTAAACTGCTTAGAGGGGGCTGTAAAGCACTTGTGAAGGAGTACATAAGTCTAAGGGCTATGGCTATCTTCCTTCCTTCCTTCCTTCCTTCCTCCCTTCCTCCCTCCCTCCCTCCCTCCCTCCCTCAGGTTGACTCAGCCTTCCATTCTTCCCAGGTGGGTAAAATGGGGACCCAGATTGTTGGGGGGCAAAAGGCTGACTGTGTAAACCACTTAGAGAGGGCTGGAAAGCTCGGGGAAGAGATATATAATTCTGCTATTGCTTGGGAAGGAAAGAAGGCAGGCAGGCAGGCAGGCAGGAAGGAAGGAAGGAAGGAAGGAAGGACCTGGTGGTGTAATACTGAGACTGCAGTATCTCAGGCCAATTCTGCTAACTGACAGGAGTTCAATCCTGACTGGCTGAAGGTTGACTCAGCCTTCAATTCCTCCCAGGTGGGTCAAATGAGGACCCAGATTGTTGGGGGCAAAAGGCTGACTCTGTAAACCGCTTAGAGAGGGCTGGAAAGCTCTGGGAAGCAGTATATAATTCTGCTATTGCTTGGGAAGGAAAGAAGGCAGGCAGGCAGGCAGGAAGGAAGGAAGGAAGGAAGGAAGGACCTGGTGGTGTAACAGTGAGACTGCAGTATCTCAGGCCAATTCTGCTGACTGACAGGAGTTCAATCCTGACCGGCTGAAGGTTGACTCAGCCTTCCATTCCTCCCTAGCCCTTAGACTTATAGACTGCTTCACAATCCTTTGAGCAGCGATGGTGCAGTGGCTAGAGTGCAGTACTGCAGGCTCCTTCTGCTGACTGCCGGCTGACTGCAATTTGGCAGTTCGAAACTCACCAGGCGCCAGGTTGACTCAGCCTTCCATCCTTCCGAGGTGGTAAAATGAGGACCCAGATTGTTGGGGGCAAGAGGCTGACACTGTAAACCGCTTAGAGAGGGCTGCAAAGCCCTTGTGAAGCAGTATACAAGTCTAAGGGCTATGGCTACCTTCCTTCCACCCTCCCTCCCTTCCTTCCTTGCTCAGTAATGCCCAGCTTTAACAAGGCGACTTATAAAACAGAACTGAGCCTATTGTGGGACGGCAAGTTTGTCGTTTCGTAACTCAGCAGAATTGGCTCTGCAAGAACCCCAAAAGACCAGCTGTGGGATTGTCTTGACGGGCCTCATTGCCATAAAAACCATTGTGGTTGTTGCGTCCCTTCTTGTGTTCGCTGTGCAGCTTAACCGGCTGGAGTTTGAAGATCAAGATGATGAAACCCGAATTCAGTACGAGGGCTTCCGACCAGGCATGTACATCCGGATAGAACTGGAGAACGTCCCGTGTGAGCTGGTGCTGCACTTTGATCCGCGCTATCCAATCATCCTGGGCGGCCTGGGAAACACGGAAGGAAACGTGGGCTACGTGCAGGTATGTTAGGGTCTTTCCCGCTTCTTAACCAGGATAGAGAAAGAAGGACAAAGATTTTCCCCTCTCCACTCGTGTCTGACTCTTGGGGGTGGGGCTCATCTCTGTGTCCTAACCGAGGGAGCCAGTGTTGTCTGAAGACACATTTTGTGGTCATGTGGTGGCATAGTGCTTAGAATGCGGTCTTGCAGGCTAATTCTGCCCAATGCCAGCTGTTTGATTCTGACCAGTTCAAGTTGAGCCAGCCTTCTGTCCTTCTGGGGTCAATAAAATGAGGACCCAATAGGCTGACTCTGTAAAGAGGGCTGTAAAAGCACTATGAAGCTGTATATAAGGCTAAGAGCTATTCCTTCCTTCCTTCCTTCCTTCCTTCCTTCCTTCCTTCCTTCCTTCCTTCCTTCCTTCCTTCCTTCCTTCCTTCCTTCCTTCCTGGTTGACTCAACCTTCCATCCTTCCAAGGTGGGTCAAATGAGGATCCAGGTTGTTGGGGACAAAAGGCTGACTCCGGAAACCGCTTAGAGGGTATTAGAAGTCCAAGTGCTATTGCGATCATGTGGCCAGCATGACTATACACGGTGCCTTCCCACCGAAGTGGTACTTATTTATCTACTCACACTTGCATCCTTTCGAACCACTACCTGGGCAGGAGCTGAGGCAAGGAATGGGTGCTCACCCCGTCACACGAAGCTCAGGTCTCGAACCTGAGCTGTCAGCTTTCCATCTGACAAGCTCAGCATCCTTAACCCATGGGCCATTGCGCCCCCTTCCGTGACAGGTAGAGATTCTCAGATGCTCCTGAACGTAGCTCTCTCTGAAGGTGTGTATACATACTTGCATACCGATCTCACATACTGTACATACATACTAGATACATACATACATATGTTTCCTATATGTGCATTTTTGTTTCTTCTTGACCTTCTATGCCTTATTGGTAAGTTGCTGCCAAGAGTTGTTTCTATTCCCTGGGGATTTTGAAAGCTCAATCTCTCTCTCTCACACACACACACGCTAATTTGAATCAAGTCCCACTCTGTCTCTTCCATAGTTTGATATTATGCAACTGAAAACTTTGTTCTCAGCAAAGGGGACGTAGGGATTGTTGAAAGGGCTTCTGAGGTGAGATAGTTCCATGGTTTTTGGTTTTTTTTTTTTTTTAAATAGATGCGGTTGAAGAAGCATCGCTGGCACAAGAAGATCCTCAAAACCCGGGATCCTCTGATTCTTTCTCTGGGCTGGAGGCGCTTCCAGACAATTCCTGCGTATTACATCGAAGACCACAACGGACGTCACAGGCTGCTTAAGTATACGCCACAACACATGCACTGCGGAGTAACATTCTGGGGTAAGAGCTGCTAAGGTCGCAACTTTTCCCCTTTGGGAGGGAGGCCCTGCGTAGGGCTTCCAATCCGAAGAGAGCTGGGAGGGACCTCCGAGGTCCTCTAATCTAACCCCCTGCTCAAACAGGGGACCCTATACTGTTTCAGGGAAGGGGCTGCCCAGCCCCTTTCTTAAAAACCTCCAGTGATAAGAGCACCTACAGTTTCTGGAGCCCAAGGGGTTGCCCCCATTCTAACTTCTAACGAGTTCTGTCAAATAAAATGGAAATTCCGCATTGCCGTTTGCAAGCAGTTGTTAATAAAGAAGGCTTGTTTGTTTATATATATCTGCAGGGCTTAGATATTGCTCCAAATGAAGGAACGTGGAGAAGTTTAAAAGAGGGATAAATGCAAACCAGAATGCAGTGCTAGAAATAATAAGCTCTCCATTCATTAAATTCCAGATTACGGAAGGGAACAGCTCAGAACATCTCCAGTGTCCCAAGACCTGTTGAAAAAAAAATCCAGTTTTAACAGGATAACGGGTGGAAGAGACCTCAGAGGTCTTCTAGTCCAACCCCCTGCTCAGGCAGGAGGCCCTATACCATTCCACACAAGTGACTGTCCAGTCTCTTCTTAAAGACCTCCACTGATGAAGCACCCACAACTTCTGGAGGGCAGCTGTTCTACTGGTGAATTGTCCTCACTGTTAGGAAGTTTCTTCTTAATTCCAGATTGCTTCTCTCCTTGGTTAGTTTCCATCCATTATTTCTTGTACTTTTTGCTTTGGAAAATAAGTTGACCCCCTCCTCTTTGTGGCAGCCCCTCAAATACCGGAAGACTGCTATCATGTCCCCTTCTTTTCTCTAGACTGGCCATACCCATTTCCTGCAATCATTCTTCATAGGTTTTTGTCTCTTTAATCATCTTAGTTGCTCTTCTCTGCACTCTTTCCAAAGTCTCAACATGTGTTTTTCGTAATGTGGTGACCAAAACGGGATGCAGGATTCCAGGGGTGGCCTTACTAAGGATTTACAAAGCGATACTCGTACTTCACATGGTTTTGATCCTATTTATACAGCAAGGAACCACTTGCCCAGCTGTTTTATTGTATTAGTAGTAATAACAATTCACTGTTATTGGTTAGTTTGAAAAGGGACTTTGCCAACCATAGTGATGCTTTCAATGTTGGTTAACGCAATAACTGCTGTTTGTTTGCAAAAGACACGCGATTCGGACCTCACCCTAGTGACAGAAGGACAATGGTTTGGACACCTTGCTAATAGATATTTAGATGAGAATAACAAGCAGATGGCAACCCCAAATATGAGGCATCACTGCTGTTCAAATACATTAAAGATGTATTTTAGCCAACGGTTGAAATATCTGTAATGCAAGTTCATGAGCTGCATGAAAGGCAAAGAATCATATCGAGTCCATAAAGATTACACATAAGAAGCAATCTTGGAGAAAGGAGGAGGCTTCGATTCGCTACACTGTGAAGAGTTTGTAAATCTTGATTACAGGTTCGTTCCTCGGATCAGGTGGTTGATGAACTGGGCGATTCACTTTTTTTCTCCTCCTTCATTTTCAAACGTCGTCTTCCTTCACGCTTGGCTGGGTGGCTTTAAAAAACGAAGGAAGGTCAGACCTGATTAGGATTTGGAGCTGAGGCGCTCAGAAGTCGGAGAGCTCTCATTTTTTGGAGAAATGAGGCAGCAGTGGCCCCCACCTTCTAGGTCAGGTGTTTCTCCAACGTGGCAGCTTCAAGAGGCGTGGACTTCAACTCCCAGAATTCCCCAGCCAGCAGGGGAGGTGAGTCCACACATCTTAAAGCAGAAGTCTCCAAACCTGGCAACTTTTAAGACTTGTGGACTTCCAACTCCCAGAATTCTCCGGCCAGCTGGAGAATATGGCTGGAGAATTCTGGGAGTTGAAGTCCACAAGTCTTAAAGTTGCCAAGTTTGGGGACTTCTGTCTTAAAACCATCACGGTTGAGAGACACTGGCCTAGACGGTTGCCAGGGAAACCACAGGCAGTCCTCCACATTACGACCACCATGGAGACATTGGTGAAGGGAGTTTTGCCCCGTTGTAACAACCTTTCTTGCCGCCATTGTTAAGTGGGTCACTTTACATTTGTTAAGTGAATCTGGCTTCCCCATTGACTTTGCTGGTCAAGGAGGGAGATCAGGCAACCTTGGGACAACACCAATGGTCATAAGTATGAGCCAGTGGCCAAGCGCCTGAATTTTGATTGCCGGGATGCTGGAAAGGTCGCAACTCTGAAAAGTGGCCGTAAGTCCCTTTTTTTCAGTGGTAACTTTGGACGGCCATTAAATGAACAGCTATAAATCAAGGACTCCCCTGTACAAGGATACGGTACCAGAACTGGAGCTCACCTTAGAAAAGTTTTCGTTTAATGCTGTAGCCGTTCTTCTGGCACGCATTTATTTTTATCGTCTCTCAAGGGAAGGCGTGAACATCAGACATACAAAGAAACAAGCGAAGGCACCCTATTAAGTTATTGTTTGATGGTTTCATTCAACTTTCTTTATAGGACCCATAACTCCACAAGGGACCGGGTGTTTGGCAGTCCAGTCCGTGAGTGGTACAACGGTAAGTACGTTAGCACGGCCGGTTTCCAATCCGCTTCCTTACGATCGCTTTATTTGTGAATTGGTGCTGTTGAAAAGGAGCCCAAATACTGCAGTTGGAAGTGCTAATAAATGGCTCCATTCCTGGAGGTAACATTGAGAAGAAGAATTCTTCAAAATTCTCCATTCAAAATATATATATTTTTTTGAATTCTACTGTATAGTGCAGTGTTGGTGCGGTGTCGGGGTTTTTAGATTCTGTGTGTGGAGGAGGGTGAAAGATGTTGTGTTTGTGTTTATTTTCATGGTCATGGTATGTGCACTGAAGGTGGTGTCTGATTTCGTTGTACGAGGTGCAGTGACAATAAAGTAAACTAAACTAAACTGAAGATATTCTAGTTGTTTTACTAAGCCCTGGTGCAAACTGATATTTTTTTTAATGCCTATAAAAGTAATGTCAGGGTTCTGGAGATTGCCCTAATTAAATCATGAACCTCAAGTCAAGCTTCAAAAAACTTCAAAAGATTTACTAGGAGCAGCATGCCAGCGTTAACGAGCTGGGTGTCATCAATCATGTTCTCCAATGAAGGATTTTCGGGGACAGAAGATCCGGTAGCCTAGGTACAATCTTTGTAGATAAGGGTGGAATGTACTACTGGTTGTAAACTGCTGGAATGCTCCTTCAGATTCCCCGCCCCCCGTTTATAGCAACTTGAAAACAGGCATAGGAATGTTTTATGAGTCGACAGGTAATTTTTTCCCCTCAAGACTTTCCATGCAGAGAAAGCCCCAAAGGTGCTTTTTTCAAGAGGAAACTGGACTTTCTTGTTTTTCCTTGAAGACGTTTTGCTTCTCCTCCAAGAAGCTTCTTCAGCTCTGACTGGATGGTGGAGGATAGAAGCAATTATATTATACAGATAAAGCTCCAAGTGGCCTCAGCAACTCTCAGAGGGAGCTCTAACGACCAGATGACTGCAAGGAATCTACATCCTTCCATCCTCCACCATTCAGTCAGAACTGAAGCAGCTTCTTGGGTGAGAAGCAAAACCCCTTCAAGGAAAAAGAAAGAAAGTCCATTTGCCTCTTGGAAAAAAAGCACCTTTGGGACAACTATGACCTGGATGACGGAGAATCTCCACAGAGTTGCAGGAAAAGTAAACTACATCAAAAGCCCTAGACTTTTCATAAAAAGAACTTCATACGTCATAAATGGACTTTCGTTGTTTTATTTTAGGCTGATTTTCGGATAGCCGCCACTGGCGTTGTGCTCGACTTGGATAAGTCCATCAGGATTGTGAAGAAATTAAAGTTGATCGGTTTCCCTTTCAAAATTTTCAAGAATACAGCTTTTATTAAGGTACGTGTTTGAGCAGGAAATGTTGCCATTTAGTCTTTGTAAGTCGTGTATTGTTTCACCTTTATTCATTTAAATTTATCACGGCTACCCACCCCAGAAGTCTCTGGGTAGGAGCTCAAAGTTAAAATTTATCTTGGTGTGGTACTTAATGCCACGGATTTTAAAAAGACCAACCTAAATGTTAAATCACGTTTTATTCCAATCCCATTTTTAAATTGCGTTTTACCCAGTTCCATTTAAGATTGCTTTTATCAAATTTCAGTAATAATTGGTTTCTGGATCTCTGCACTTTGATATGGCCCATGGGCGAATCAATCGATCAATAAAATAAAAGGAGCAGCGTAACTTTGGGTACATTTGTGGTTTATTAGAGACATGCTTGCTTTGATTTGTGGCCGAAATGTCTCTCAAAGATACCTCTGTTGATTTTTTTTTAAAAAAGCACACTTCTTAATATAATAATATAATATAAACTTTATAACCTTAATATAATATAAACTTTATAATGTCTTGGTAAGGCCACACTTGGAATACTGCATTCAGTTTTGGTTGTCACGATGTAAAAAAGATGTTGAGACTCTAGAAAGAGTGCAGACAAGAGCAATGAAGATGATTAGAGGACTGGAGACTAAAACATACAAAGAATGGTTGCTGTCTAGCTTAATAAAGGGAAGGACCAGGGGAGACATGATAGCAGTGTTCCAATATCTCAGGGGCTGTCCCAAAGAAGAGGGAGTCAAGCTACTCTCCAAAGCCCTTGAGGGCAGGACACGAAGCAATGGGTGGAACAATTAACCAGTGGAACAACTTGCCTCCAGAAGTTGTGAATGCTCCAACATTGGAAGTTTTAAAAAATCGATGTTGGATAACCATTTGTCTGAAGTGATGTAGGGTTTCCTACCTGGGCAGGGGGTTGGACTAGAAGACCTCCAAAGTCCCTTCCAACTCTGTTACTCTATTCTATAAGTAACAGAGGAAGATGAGTTAGAAGAAACACTGGCTCTTTGACTGTTAATCCTGATGCACCCAAAATAGAAATGTTCTTCTATGCCATGCAGGGGATGTTTAACTCTGTGCTGGAAGTGGCTAGGTTTGAGGGGGCAGCCATCCGTACGGTGAGCGGCATCCGAGGACAGATTAAGAAAGCCCTCAGGACCCCCGAGGGGGCCTTCCGAGCAACTTTCGAAGACAAGTTGTTGATGAGTGGTAAGTTGGCTTTTCCACTTTTGCACATGTGAAACCTGGCTTTATCGGGGTCAGGAGGAGGAAGATCAGTTCTGGGGTTGGAGGAATTGGGAAGACGGAGAGTCAGCAGCCAGACTGTGCCCTTCCCCAGTTTCCTCCACAGTCACACTTTCACACTTCCACTTCCTGTCAGCTGTTTGTCTTCCTCCTCGGATTCAGAATCGCAACAGGGACATGACGTCTCCCAAACTGTGAGCCATTAAAGAGGGAAACCAATTTAAATATATAGATACAGATATATAGATAGACGATATATAGATATATAGACGAACACAATACAGAAGCCTGATGATGGCAGATGAGATTCTGCCGAAACGTTGCTACAACTTTAAAAGCACAACTACAATGACTTGGGAAAATACCCGAACAAAGCTGAATACCATACATGTAAGTACCCGCGAAAACTTAAGAAAACAGATATATAGATATAGATATATTCCCAACCATTTTCTCTTTCTTCAGACATCGTATTCATGCGAACGTGGTACCCTGTGTCTACCCCTGCCTTCTATAATCCGGTCACCTCTTTACTGAAGCCTCCGGGTGAGAAATCCTCCTGGGTAGGAATGAAGACCACGGGGCAGCTGAGACACGAGAGGGGCATCAGGCTGAAACAAAACAAGGATTCCCTCTATAAGGTAGGACGGTCGGTGTGATGTGTTTGTGTGGCAGGGTTTTTTTTTTTTAAAAAAACTGATTTTTGTCTCTGGGGCAGCGGTTTGGATACGGACCCCTTCCAAGAATCCGTGAGCTTTCTTGCCACGTGGTTTAATTTTAATTTGGTTCACTGTAAGGGTTCCAGATGGGTTTTTCCTCCTTCATTTTATTGAGAAAAAGAGACATGGCTGGCTGGAGAGAGAGAGAGAAGATGATTAGAGAGAGAAGGTGATAAGAGAGAAAAGAAAGAAGGAAGGAAGGAAGGAAGGAAGGAAGGAAGGAAGGAAGGAAAGAAAGAAAGAAAAAGAAAGAAAGAAAGAAAGAAAGAAAGAAAGAAAGAAAGAAAGAAAGAAAGAAAGAAAGAAAAAGAAAAGAAACCAATAGCAGTAAACTTAGACTCCACTTTACAGTGCTTTTACAACCCTCTCTAAGCCGTTTAGAGAATCAGCAATTGCCCCTAACAATCTGGCTCCTCATTTTACCCACCTCGGAAGGACGGAAGGCTGAGTCAATCTTGAGCCTAAGAGAGATTTGAACTGCCAAATGGCAGGCAGCCGGCAGGCAGCAGAAGTAGCCTGTAGTGCTGCACTCTAACCACTGTGCCACCACGGCTCAGGTAGATAAGATAGATGATAGATAGACAGACAGACACAGACAGATTAAGGGATTGGATAGATAAGGTAATTAAAGAGAGATAAGATGATTAGATAGATGGTTGGACAGACAGTCTGATGAATTGCTAGCTGGCTGGCTGGATAGACAGATGGCTGGATAGATGGATAGATTGATGGATGATAGATAGTGGACAGACGGACAGACATAGAGAAAGCTGGATTAGTGGCTGGATGGATGTAGGGATGGATGGATAAACATATACAGAGAAGAAAACTGGATATCATAATAGTAGAAAGAGGCATTAAAGGAAGGGGCAGAATTTTTCTGTCACAGGGGATGTTAGAAATTTGTGTTAAACTTTTAAGCATATTTCAAGACTTAAATAATTATTTTTATTTATGGACTACTGAATTTTGGGTGGAATTATTTGAAGTGGCTGCGGGTGGGAGCACAGAAACTATTTTAGAAACTGCGGATTGCCGATCGGTGGATTAAATAAACTGTGATTGGTGTTGGCAGTCATTAGTTTCAGTGCAAAATGAAGTGAGCTCACCAAAAGAAGAAGCAAGGAAATGCAAAGTCTTTGCCCTAAACTGGGTTTTTTTTTGTGTGTGTGTGTGTGTGTGTGTGTGTGTGTAATTGTGCAACTATTTGCATTTCAAATATGAAATGCTAGCAGGGTACCTGTGCTTTGCAACAAAACTATGGGATCAGGCAACTTTTGGGGGAGGAAAATTAGGGGGGGGGGGGGCAGAATTGTGCCTCTGCCTACCATCATCCATCGGTGTTCACCTGGCTAGCGTCCTGTCAGTGGGTGAGAGAATTGAGGGCTTTTGGAAACCGAAATAATATTTGCTGTGCGAGCAAGAAAGAGAAAGCAAGGAGCCTGGGCGTGGCTTAGCTCAACTATTCTGTACTAAAGCTGCTTGCTGCATTGAAATTGAAATTGAAACTCTTCTCCTCTGCTTCTGTTTTGCATTTGGAAGAGATTTCTTTTCAGGTGAGGAGGAGGAGAAGAACTCCTTAGCATCAGAGCATGTTAATAATAATAATAATAATAATAATAATAATAATAATAATAATAATAATAATAATAATAATAATAATAATAATATAGGAGATACTCTAAATGCTCCGATGGTCATTTCACAAAATCCTTTATTAGTGAGCCCCTAGAAGCTAAGAAGAACCTACGGGCCAAATTTCAAATTTGTGGGCTTTATGATTCTGGGGTTTTCGTGATGATGCGTGAGTGGTCTTTCGCTTTTATATAGATAGATTCCATTTACAATCATTCCTGAAAGCACTGGAAGCTTGAGGCAAACAGGCTGTGGGGTATTTGTTTGGATTTTTGCTCAAAGTAGGATATTCCGCGAACATTGTGCCCGAAATGATTCCAAATGAAATGCTTTGCAACGTTGCTTGAAAAAAACCATTCCTTTCCTCTTTCCTCCTCTTTCTTAGCCGATAACCCGAGAGAAGAAACATTTCAACAAGCTGCATATTCCCAAAGCTCTTCAGAAGGCCTTGCCGTTTAAGAATAAGCCCAAGTTCCAAGAAAGGAAAAAGAAAGTCCCCAAGGATCAGTGGAGACCGGCTGTGATCAGGGAACCGCACGAAAGGAAGGTGAGATCTTTTGTGGCCTTCCATAGCAGCTGCCCTCTCCTCTCATAAATTTCACCCAGAATAGTTGCTAAGCATCACAGTGGGTGTTATAAAGATGCTTCTTTTTAAAAAAAAAAACAAAACCTTTAGTTTACTTTATTGTCATCTGCACCTCGTACAAGGAAATTACATGCCATCTTCAGTGTACATTATACATTGAAAAATAAATAAAACAAAAACACACATCCTTCACATTCTATACCAGGGGGTCTCCAACCTTGGCAACTTTAAGCCTGGCGGACTTCAACTCCCAGAATTCCCCAGCCAGCAAAGCTTCCTTTTGATTCACATCCTTAGTCCAATTCCACAAAAGCATGATTGGAAGATGGCCTGTGTTACGTGCAGGAGGTCCTTGACCTTCAAGAGTTCACTTAGTAACAGTTCGTAGTTACAACAGCACTTAGGGGGCGGGGTGGGGAAAGGGTCATTTTTTCACACTTAAAACCGTTGCAGCATTCCCCCCCTCTCCCCCAGTCATGTAATCAAAATTCAGATTCTTGACAACTGACTCGTGTTTGCGATGGTGGGTGTCACGCAATTCCCCTTTTGTAACCACCTGACAAGACAACGTCAATGAGGAAGCCCAGGTTCACTTCACAACTGGGCGACTTAAGTGCCAGGGTTTAAACTGTAGGAAATATCAACTGCAGCAGTTCCCTCAGCCACGGTGGCCCAGAAAGGCTGTAAAATAAGGCACAACTCAACTGAACAAGTGCCTCGCTTAGCAACATAAATTTTGAGCTGAATGGTGGCTCTACGTCCAGGACTTACCCTGTGTATTCATGCAATCCTTCCATCCTTAGGAGGAGGTTTTCTTCTTAAGAAACTTCCTCGCTTTTTCGAGGCCTGAAGTAGCAACTGCACAACACACACACACACACACACACACACGTTGTGTTTTACTCTGGTTGTAAACTCTGCCCTGGCTGTAAATGCTTTTTTTAAAAAAAGAAAATGTCCGTAAAATAGGCCCCAGGTACCCTGCCAGCTCTGATGAACACTTTTATCGGTGTCCATAGGTGGTAAATACAGCCACAAGGTTTATTGCTTTGAGTAGCCTTTCCAGTGTTTGGATGAAATGACTTTGGTGGGACAGGATGGTAGGTAGTTAAATACAGATTTAGCAGCCGCCAACAGGCATTGTTCGTGTTACCTTTTAATAGTTTCCTCACCCAAGGACCAAGGTGGGGAAAAAAGGGTATTTTAACGCCTGAGTTAATCATAGCAATTACCTTGGTGATTGTGGGTACAGTAAATAAAAGGAATTAAGCCAGCTTTTCTGAGGCCTTTAAAAGAAGTCTCTTTGCTAATGCTAGATATTAAAACCGGTGGATACGGAGTTGATAATTCCTACAATTTAAACCCCAGCATGTCGCCATTGTGCTGTGTCTTGGCTTCCTTTTTGAGGTTGTGTTGTTGTTTTTCTTCCCCAACTTGGGACTCGGCTCCGTCAACTTTGTGTCCCTTTCTTGTGTTCAGGTGGCAGCGCTTCTCTCGGCTCTGGGCACGGTACACAACCACAAGGCGCAGAAGAACAAGGCGCAGCACCGCCAGCAGGTCAGAGAACACCAGAAGGGCCAAGCGAAAGAGGAAGAAGCGAAGCTGAAGAGGCAGAAGGAAGCCAGGAAGAAACTCTTCCGTGCTATCGGACAGAGGGAGAAGAAGAAGCAGAAGTCAAGCCTGAAGGGCCCTGTTGGAAAAGAGTAAGAAGCGGCGATGTGCAGAAGCCCCGTGAGAAGCAGTCTTGACCTCCACAGCACTGCTGGCTTGGAGGATTACATTCTGGAAAACTGGTGAGACCACGGCCATTGCTGAGGAATGGAGCCTCCAGAGAAGGCCCTGTTTTAACAGCCCAAGAGAGTTTCCCATCTGTCTGCCTTTCTCATAACACCTGTCAGTAAGGATTGAGACACTTAATTCTGGGATCTCTAATGAACAAGAGATCTAAAAATATTCCGGCTTGGTTCTGGGCTTGAGAAAGGCAGTCACTCATATCCGAAAAAGAGCTCTCCAGTTGTAAACGGTCTTCGATGATGCCTTATTTGCGTGGGATGCTGAAATAATCCTAAATATATTTTATATTCTAGTTTGGGAAGGGACTGATGTATGGTGTTTTTTTGTTTTTTTTTGCGGGCAAATGGAATGGTTTTTTTTGCTGGTTTCTGGTGGACAGGAAATGCTTCTCCGACGCTCTGATCTTAATAGGGTGGCTTGAAAAACTCCGCTCATTGAAAGTTGAGTCGGTTGGCAGATTTCAAAGGTAAGTTTGACAGGAGGATCTGGAGCTGGAGGAAAAAAGGGGTCGTGTTATGAGATGATGTTGGCTCGTTCCAAGAAAGGAAACAGTAGCTATAATATGTGTCAGTCCTTGGCTTAAGAACCATTCGTTTTGTGACTGATCAAAGTTACAGCGGCATTAAAAATAATGACCATTTTTCACATTTATGACAGTGGCAACTTCCCATGGTCATGTGACCAAACTTTGGAGGCTCGGATTTGTTATGCTTTGTAAGCCACTGAGGGGGAATTTTTTTTTAAAAAAACCCTGAATTTGGAGGAGCCTTCGGGTGGGTTGCTTCAATCCAGAACGTAGTTTTTTTCCTGAACATTTTGAAATACTGCTATTGCTTCTCCTTCAAGACTTCAGAGTTGACACAAGTATACTCTAGGCCTTAGGTAAAGGTAAAGGTTCCCTTCGCACATCCGTACCAGTCATTTCTTGCTCTAGGGGGCAGTGCTCCTCTCCGTTACAAAGTCGAAGAAGAGCCAGCGCTGTCCGAAGACGTCTCCGTGGTCACGTGGCCAGCATGACTAAACACCAAAGGCGCACAGAACGCTGTTACCTTCCCACCAAAGGGGTCCCTATTTTTCTACTTGCATTTTTGCATGCTTTCAAACTGCTAGGTTGGCAGAAGCTGGGACAAGTCACGGGAGCTCACTCCACTCCGCGGTGCTAGGGATTCGAACTGTTGAACTGCTGACCTTTCTGATTGACAAGCTCAGTGTCTTGGTCACTGAGCCACCATGTCCCACAGTACAGTTTAATTTTAGTTTCAAGTGTATGAACCTATCTCTTTGTGTTTATGAGCCATAGTTAAATGATAGAGCTTAAAGCAAATCTAGGCGATGCATTAAAAACACCCACTAGTGCCATTTTCCTTTTCTTTAGAAGATCACAGAGCCATTGAGCTGAGGTAGCACAGAAATACTAGCCGATTTTACCTCAGGCGAGCTGGAATTTCTTTGCTATGATTTCACCCCTTAGAAGCTTTCCAAAGAGGAAACATTCCCACTCGGCTCTTGTAAAAACAACCACGTTCGCCATAGCAGCTTATCATATTGTTTGCAAGAAAATAAAACACTTGGCTGTGTTGGATGAAAGTTAGCCAGTATTGAAAAAACATGAGTCAAACAGGTGAGTGGTAGATCCGTCAGCCATAGCTAAGTCATGGTTTCCCACGAACTGAAGCAGATCGATGACAATCAAAGCCCTCCTACAATTTGTTCAGACGTTCTGGCGTTTATTTAATTTATTTTTACCTGTATAGCTTGCCTCTGATCTCTTTGAGACTTCAAGGGGTCTCCTACAGGGAAGAAAGAGGTTTTTTTTTCTCTCTGGGGTCTGGAAGTTGGGTCATGCCAAGTGTCCGTCTCTCCGTGTGGCTTCAAAATGTTTCATTGCTTATCCAAGTAGTTTCTTCAGTCTGAGCAAGTTGGCTAGGGGGACCCCTTGTATCTCCTCCGGAGAAGTCTCATTTGTTTCCTGATCAGGGTAGGTTTGTTAGATGAGTAAACAAAGAGCATTGCAACATTACGTAAATATGTTCCAGCTCTTAAACCCTTTACCCTAGATGAGTCATGAAGTAGGGCGTCCTTGGTGAAGCTGCAAAGCGGCCTTAATCTTTCATGTTCACACACCCGCCTGATGCATGAGAAGCACATGAATGTGTAACACTCTAAGAACATCCTTGATGGATTAGATCTGTCTGTATCTCTATATCATCTATATCTATTTCTATATATATCTATATATAAGCTATCTGTCATCTATATCATCTATCATCTACATAATCTATATCTAATTATTTCTATTGATCTATCATCTCTATACCTATCTATCTCTAATCTATATATCATATATATCTAATCTCTATCTCTAATCTATCATCTATATCTCTGTATATATATATTCATATATCCTCTATATATATCATTATCTATCTATCTATCTATCTATCTATCTATCTATCTATCTATCTATCTTTCCAACATCTAATTTATATAGCCGCCTACTCACTCTCGGCGACTCTAAATGGCTCACAAATAATAAAAACACAGTACAGAGAATAAAACAAAACGCAATAACCCTAGAACCCCACAAGCCACCCCCAGTGACAACATAATAATCAGATGAGCCATTGGATGGGCTCCATCTTGCGCTGGGTTGCCCAGGCCCGCTGGCAAGAGCACGTCTCCAGAGCCTTCTGAGAACATGTCACCCTGGGGGCCAGTCCTAATTCCGGATGGATGATGTTCCAGAGGGACGGAGCCACCACAGAGAAGGCTCTTCTTATGGGTCCTGCCTGATGTACTTCCTTTGGGGACAGGGCCTGGAATTCCTTCCCTCCCTGCTCTGGCGGGTCAATGTCCAATTTAGTCCTGGATTCTTCCTTCTGCAACGAGGAGCTAAAAATGATGCCAACCCATAAGACTGTAGAAAAAAAAGGGGTTGTAGTATCCAAAGTATTGCTTTTGGGGAGGGGGGGAATATAAGGAGTGTTCCAGGCATGGGATTTTCATTATCGCATGTCGTTTGAAATAAAGGTGCAACTATAATGGAGGAGATTCAGCAACCTTAGGTGGAGAGAAAAGGGGAAAAGGGATCTGCAACAAGTGAGCATCCTAATAATTTTATTATAGTCACTGACCAGCATTACAGATAAGAAACATTAAAATAAAAAATAACATGCTATGCCAGGGGGAGGGTGGGGCTGGCCAATTTATCAAGCCAGTTTCCTGTAATAGTTTGTTTCGACCTTCGAGTCTGAAGGTCGCTCCTTCTTAAGCAAGGATAAGACCCAACAAACCATTGCAAAGGAAGATGGAACCCCCGTCCCACATGAAATGCTGTTTTGTTTTGGAGAACGGCAGGCGGATGGTCTGCTGGGAGTCCACGTTTCGGAGAGATGTGGGGGGGCAAGGGGAGAGAAATCCCGACAGCTCCGATGGGCCTGGAGTGACAGGCATCGCATCACTTTCCTTGAGCACAAAAAGGACATGTCACAAGACTTGTCAGGCTGCCATCAAAGCCAAGCAGGGCTGCAACTATGCGGATCCAACACGCGTGTCCTAGTGATAGGATTCATTTATTTTTTTTTACTTCTGGTTCTGTGGGCGTGGCTTGGTGGGTGTGGCAAGGGAAGGATATACTGCAAAATCTCCATTCCCTCCCCACCCCACTAACCTGCTTTCCAGTTCCATTCTCCTGTGCAGGGCAACCAAAGAAGACCCAGCCGATCAGCTGGGACTCAATGGGAGGCAGGGAATAGATGGGGTTGGCAGGGCCAGTCAGAGGTGGGATTCGCCCGTTCTCCAAACTCAAAATTGCTGCTACTGGTTCTCCAGAACTGGTCAGAACCGGCTGAATTCCCGACTCGTGTGTCCTTCCCATTTTGAAGTTACAGCTAATGGTTGTTGGAGATTTCCCTGAATCCAGGCGAAATCTTTGAATTACCAGCAACCTGACTGATGTAACCCATGTAATTCTTTTGGAAACAACATGGAAGAGATATGCCAATGCTTTCTGACGGGTTTTTGACTTTTTTACTCCCTTCCTTTGGTATTATTCGGTGGTTTCCTACCTAAAGTTTTGGAGAACAGCCAAGGCTGAGTAGATGCTACCACCAGGATGGATATTTGCACGCATATCCATAATCAAAATTAATATCTGCTCCTGGGCCACCATCAAAGATTTAATTTAGAGACTTGAGAGAGAGGGCTGGTGCCTGAGAAAGATCTCTCCTGACTCTTGCTAATAGCATTTGAACAATTAAATGTCTGCAGCATCGGACTTAAAAGTCAGGACGAAGATAAAACGGAGGCAGTGTTTTCCATCAAGAAATGCCAGCTAACAAAAGAGACCGAACGGAAAGATAAAACTTTTGGAACGCAAATGAATAACTTTTAACTGCTGAAATAATTTTAATTGGGTTTTCGAATCTTGCATTTGTGGGTTCTGAAATTATTGACTGCCCGTGTTACTCCAAGAAAGGATAATATTGAATACAGAATAATAGAGTTGGAAGGGACTTTGGAGGTCTTCTAGTCAAGCAGGAGCACCCATTTCAGATAAATGGTTGTCCAATCTCTTCTTGAAAACCTTCAGTGATGGAGCACCCACAACTTCTGAAGGCAGCTTCTGTTCCACTGGTTTGTTGCTCTCACTGGTGGGAAATTTCTCCTTAATTCCAGGTTGCTTCTCTCCTTGATGAGTTTCCATCTGTTTAGCTTTTTGTTATTAAAGCAACATTTGTCTAACGATGCCAACCACTATTTCTAAAAAGTACCTATTTTGAAATTTTTCTGCCTCTAATGTATCTAGAATAGAATAGAATAGAATAGAATAGAATAGAATAGAATAGAACAGAACAGAATAACAGAGTTGGAAGGGACCTTGGAGGTCTTCTAGTCCAACCCCCTGCCTATGCAGGAAACCCTATACCCCTTCAGACAAATGGTTATCCAGCATCTCTTCTTAAAAAACTTCCGGTGTTGGAACATCCACAACTTCTGGAGGCAAGTTGTTCCACTGATTCATTGTTCTCACTGTCAGGAAATTCCTCCTTAGTTCTAGGTTGCTTCTCTCCTTGATTAGTTTCCATCCGTTGCTTCTTATCCTGCCTTCAGGTGCTTTGGAGAGTAGCTTGACTGCCTCTTCTTTGTGGCAGCCCCTGAGATACTGGAAGATTGCTATCACGTCTCCCCTAGTCCTTCTTTTCATTGGACTACACATACCCAACTCCTGCAACCATTCATCGTATGTTTTAGCCTCCAGTCCCCTAATCCTTTTCGTTGCTCTTCTCTGCACTCTTTCTAGAGTCTCAACATCTTTTTTTAGACCATGGCGACCAAAACTGGGCACAGTATTCCAAGTGCGGCCTTATCAAGGCATTATAAAGCGGTATTAACACACCACGTGATCTTGATTCTCTCCCTCTGTTTATGCAGCCTAGGACTGCGTTGGCTTTTTTGGCAGCTGCTGCACCTGGCTGGCTCCTATTTTTTCTACTGTGAACTGAAATATCAGAACTATTATTCAGTGGTCAATTAAAGTATATATCAGTGACATGTTCAATAATTACTCAGCCGCGTCACCTATGCCTTCCCTTATCGAAGTTCTATTTGCTTTGTGAGGGA